GGAATGTCCTGCTGATGGCTTAGGCCCTCTCCCCGTGGTTCTCGGCTCCCTGTGAGGCCTGCCTGCTCCACACCACGGTGATGGGCAAGCAGGCCGTGCTAGGTGCTGTCCAGGTGCACAGCTGCCCTCACCTCCCGGGGCCATCGCTGGTCCCGGGAGGCTGCAGGCTTGGTGCCCATCCCCAGGACCCAGGCCACTTGACGTCTGCGTATGCAAATGAATCTGCCATCTTTGTTGGGTTAATTTGCATACACATTCCTGATTGGCTGGTGGGCATCACAGAGGTACGGATAATTTGTATCTTTCTCTTTTATTAGTGTAGAATAGCCCCAACATGGAAACAACCCAAAAGTCCATCAACAGATGTCTGGGTAAACAAAAGGCGATAGACCCGTGGAATGGAATATTATTCAACCACAAAAAGGAATGAAGTTCTGCCCTAGGCGGTGTGGCTCAGTGGATAGGACATCAGCCTGTGGAACGAAGGGTCCCAGGTTCGAGACCAGTCAAGGGCACGTACCTCGGCTGCAGGCTCCTCCCAGCCCGTTCCTGGTTGGGGCTCATGGAGAAGGCATCCAGTTGATATGTTTCTCTTGCATTGATATTGCCCTCTGTCTTTCCCTCTCTCCTTCACTCTCTCTAAAAATCAATGAAAAATATCCTCAGGTGAGGATTTGAAACACACACACACACACACACACACACACACACACAAAGAGAAATGTAACACATGCTACACTATGGGTGAACCTCAAAAACATTATGTTCAGAAAAGAAGCCAAACCTGGCTGGCTTGGCCCGGTGATTGAGTGTTTGACCTATGAACCAGGAGGTCATAGTGTGATTCCGGGTCAGGGCGCATGCCCGGATTTCGGGCTCGATCCTCAGCATGGGGCATGCAGGAGGCAGCCAGTCAATGATTCTCTCTCATCATGGATGTTTTTCTCTCTCTCTCCCTCTCCCTCTTTGAAATCAACAAAAGTATATTTTTAATAATAATAATAATAATAATAATAATAATAATAAAGAAACAGGAAGCCGAAACTGGTTTGGCTCAGTGGATAGAGTGTCGGTCTGCGGACTGAAGGGTCCCAGGTTCGATTCTGGTCAAGGGCATGTACCTTGGTTTCGGGCACATCCCCAGTAGGGGGCGTGCAAGAGGCAGCTGATCGATGATTCTCATCGATGTTTCTAACTCTCTATCCCTCTCTCTTCCTCTCTGTAAAAAAAAAATCAATAAAGTGTATTTTTTTTACAAAAAGAAAGAAAAAAAGATAGAAACAGGAAGCAGATCAGTGGTGGCCAGGGCTGGAGGGGAGGAGGGGCTGCTTGCTGTGTGGATCTCCTTTTCGGGAACTAGACAGTGGTGGTGGTTCACATGGTGAATGTCATTAAGTGGTAAGTCACTTTTTCTTTTAGCAAGAGGAAAATAACCAAACTTCATACATACATGCATACATACATATGGATGGGAACCCCACATACATGAGAGAGTCAGGGACCCCCCCCCCCCTCCCAGGCACAAGAAGTTCCATTAAATGGTAAATCTTACGTTTTGTGCATTTTACAATGAAGCAGATGAATGGAGGCATTATGGCGACCTGCGGGCGGGCGGGCGGGGGCGGGCGAGTGGAGGGCGGTAAGCCCGCTGGCAGGGCGTCGGTGCTTTGTGCCGGGGAGACCCTGCAGATACCAAAGCCCAGAACGCTCACGTCCGTTACAGCACAGGGCACAGCCATGTGCATTGGGACGGTGTGCGAATGAGATCATGCCAGAAGGCGTTCAAGACCCAGAGGCTTGTGGGCGATGCTCTTCTTGAAGTCACTGTTGAAAAGGCATCCTGGGCCGAAACCGGTGTGGCTCAGTGGATAGAGCGTTGGTCTGCGGACTGAAAGATCCCGGGTTCGATTCCAGTCAAGGGCATGTACCTTGGTTGCAGGCACATCCCCAGTAAGGGGTGTGCAAGAGGCAGCTGATGGATGATTCTCTCTCATCGATGTTTCCAACTCTCTATCCCTCTCCCTTCCTCTCTGTAAAACATCAATAAAATGTATTTTTTTAAAAAAGAAAAAGAAAAGCCATGCTAGGAGTTCAGATGGCGAGGCTTCAGAAATGGGCTGATCGGAGCTCATGCTATAAAACGTCAGTATCACCGAAACCGGTGTGGCTCGGTGGATAGAGCGTCGGCCTGCGGACTGAAAGGTCCCGGGTTCGATTTCGGTCAAGGACATGTACGTTGGTTGCGGGCACATCCCCGGTGGGGGGTGTGCAGGAGGCAACGGTTGATGTTCCTCTCTCATCGACGTTTCTAGCTCTCTATCCCCCTCCCTTCCTCTCTGTAAAAAAATCAGTAAAATATATTATATGTAATAAATAAAACGTCAGTATCATGGTCGTTGGCCACGTTTGTTTCAGGCCATCATATAAGGTATTTCAAGTAAATTCTTGATCATCTTGCAGGGTAAACAAATATGAATGTTAGTCTATAATACATTTCTTGGCAGATTTTGCTTTCTTGAAGAAATGATAAGCGCCCTCTCCAGTTTGTCTCAGTGGGTAAAGCATTGGCCTGCAGCCTGAAGGGTCTGGATTCGATTGAGGTCAAGGGCACATTCCCAGGGTTCCGGGCTGGATTCCCAGTAGGGGGCGTGCAGGAGGCAGCTTCTCTCTCATCATTGATGTTTCTATTTCTCTCTCCCTCTCCCTTCCTCTCTGAAATCAATAACAATTAAAAAAAATTATAAGCTAGCTACAGGGTTCATGTCTAGGTTTGCTTGTGTGTTGTTGTTTTTGTGTGTGTGTGTTTTTAAAAAAAATGTTTTATTGGTTTTTTACAGAGAGGAAGGGAGAGGGATAGAAAGCTAGAAACATTGATGAGAGAGAAACATCGATCAGCTGCCTCCTGCACACCTCCCACCGGGGATGTGCCCACAACCAAGGTACATGCCCTTGACCGGAATTGAACCTGGGACCCTTCAGTTTGCAGGCCCACACTCTATCCACTGAGCCAAGCTGTCTAGGGAAAGGTTTGTTTTTTGTTTTGTTTTTTGCAATACTTTTTATAGATGTCAGAGAGGAAAGGAGAGAGAAAGAGAAACATCAGCGATGAGAGAAAAATCATTGATTGGCTGCCTCCTACATGCCCCCCTCTGGGGAGGGAGCCCACAGCCCAGGCCTGTGCCCTGACCGGGAGTTAAACCGTGACCTCCTGGTTAATAGGTCGGCCGCTGCTCAACCACTGCGCCCAGCCGCTGGGCTCGCGTCCAGGTTTAAGCACTTTGAGAACAATGAGACGTGTCTTTTTGCTGATGGGTGACTTTCCATTCGTTCACATCTGCCAGTTTAGTTTCTGGGCAGATTTCAAGCGTTGTTTCCCTGACCCTTGTTTTTTGGTTAATCCTCACCCAAGGATATTTTTTTTTCCCATTGATTTTTAGGGAGAATGAAAGGGAGAAAGCGAGGGGGAAAGAGAGAGGGAAATACTGATGTGAGAGACACACATAGATATGTTGGCTCTCCACACGCCCTGGCCGCGCCCGGGACTGAACCTGCAGCCCAGGTATGCGCCCTTGGCAGGGACTCAAACCCTTTCCTGTGTGGGCGTCCACTGGTCTAACCACTGAGCAACACCAGCCGCAGCCATTTGTCGGTTCTCGTGTGTGCCCTGCCCCAGAAAGAAACCCACAACCTTCGTGTCTCTCTGGCCGGCGCTCAGCGCCCCGGCCAACCCCTCTTTTTGCGCGAAGGGAGGAGGCATTTGGCAGCCGTGGCATCCGAGTGTCCGTTTCGCTTTGCATGTGCTGTGCCCGTTCCGTGTCTGATGCATATAACGGGACCTTGAATCCATACATGTAAAAAACAAAAAATAAAAAGAGCTTTTGATCGGCAATGTCTCTATACAGAGTTTTTGTTTTACTCCTAAAACACGGTTCTGAAGCAAAAATACTGTTTTTTAAAAAAAAGGAAGGAAAAAAGAAGTGCGGGGCACTTTAACGGCCGCTGGGGGAGGGGTTCCGCGGAGGAACTCTGACAGCCGCTCTGGAGGCAGCCCCGGGGCAGACGCTCGGGGGTAAATGAGGTGAGAGGGGCCCGGAGGGACCGATCCGGCGCTGGGTCTGCCCCCGGCGCGGCTGGGCGTGCGGGGCTGGCCCGTCCCCTCCACCTGAGAAATAGAAATAGAAATAAAACCAGGGAGCAGCAGAGCAACAGATTAAAAAAAAAAAAAAAGACAGAAGGTCCAGGACAGGCAGACAGACTCTGGAAGCCTGGCCCGCGGGGTGTGCCCTGAGCTGGGGGCGGGGTTGCCGCCGGAGTCGGGGAGCGGGGAGCGGGGGGCGGACAGGATGTGAGAGAGGAACCGGGGCGCAGTCACGGGAGCGGCCGGGCTGCAGCGGGAAGGCGCGCGGCTGCCGTGAGCGGAGCGGGGCGCGCACCGGGGCCGCCCGGGGCGGGACCCCTGGGGCCGAGGGAGGGCGGCCGGGCCGGGCTCCGGGGTCCGAGGGGCTGGGGACCCGGACTTCTGGGGCCGAGGGAGGAGCGGGGGGACCCGGACCCCTGGATCCGAGGTGCTGGGGACCCGGACCCCTGGATCCGAGGTGCTGGGGACCCGGACCCCTGGATCTGAGGTGCTGGGGACCCGGACGCCTGGATCCGGGGGAGGACGGGGGACCCGGACCCCTGGATCCGAGGCGCTGGGGAGCCGGACGCCTGGGTCCGGGGGAGGACGGGGGGGACCCAGACCCCTGGGTCCGAGGGCGGAGCCGCTGGGGACCCGGGCTCCGGGGTCGGGGCGGAGCGGCGGCGGGCCGGGCTCCGGGCCTGGGCGGGGCGGGCGGGCGGGACGGGGCGGCCCGGCGGGCTGTCACTAATTAACCCGCAGGCCCGTCGGGGTAAAGGGTCACCGAGCGAGGGCGTCCGTGCCGCCCGCGGGACCGGCCGGACCCGCACCCGACGCCGGCGCCGTGGCCGTGGCGGCCGAGCCCCGCGGAGCCGGGGCGGCAGGGGCGGGGCGGGGTCCCCGGAGTCACACGCCTCCTCCCGCCCCAGGTCTCCCTCTCAGCATGCGGGTGCCCCGGCCTCAGCCCTGGGGCCTCTGGCTCCTGCTCGTCCTCCTGCCCCGGACCCTGCGCGCAGGTGAGGCGCCCGGCGGGCGGAGGGGCGGAGGGGGGCGCCGACGGCAGGGAGAGCAGCGGACCCGGAGCCTCCCCGGAGTCCGGGCCCGTCCTCCCCGCGTTTCACCTTGTTTACCACCTGCTCCCCCTCCCCGGTCCTTCCCGGGGTCCGTGCGCCCCTCCCCTGTCTGTCCCCGTCCCGGGGTCCGTGCGCCCCCCTCCCCGGAGTCCGTGCGCCCCTCCCCGGGGTCCGTGCGCCCCTCCCCGGGGTCTGTGACCCTCCCCGATCTGTGCGTCCCTCCCTGGTCCGTGTGCCCCTCTCTCCGGTCCGTGCGCCCCTCCCCGGTCTGTCCCGCTGTCCGGGGTGTCTTTGCTCCCTCGGGGCGCCGGCCCCACCTGCCCGCTGTCCCCGCAGACGGCCACCGCTCCCTCCAGTACCGCCTGACGGCCGTGTCCTCCCCGGCGCGCGGCACCCCCGCCTTCTGGGCCACCGGCTGGCTGGGGCCGCAGCAGTACCTGCGCTACAACAGCCTGCGCGGCCAGGCCGAGCCCTTCGGCGCCTGGATCTGGGAGAGCCAGCTGCCCTGGTACTGGGAGAAGGAGACCACCGACCTGCGGGGCAAGCAGGCGCTCTTCCTGGAGGCGCTCGCCGCCCTCGCCGCCCTGCAGAAAGGTGAGGGGGCTGACCCGGGTCCGAGGGAGGAGGGCTGGGGGGCTGGGCCCCTGGGTCTGAGGGCGGAGGACTGGGGCCTGGACCCCTGGGTCTGAGGGCGGAGGGCTGGAGGCCTGGATCCTTGGGTCTGAGGGAGGAGGGGCTGGGGGCCTGGGTCTGAAGGAGGAGGGGCAGGGCCCCTGAGTCTGAGGGAGGAGGGGCAGGGCCCCTGGGTTTGAGGGAGGAGGGGCTGGGGGCCTGGGTCAGAGGGAGGAGGGGCTGGGGGCCTGGGTCAGAGGGAGGAGGGGCTGGGGGCCTGGACCCCTGGGTCTGAGGGAGGAGGGGCTGGGGGTCTGGACCCCTGGGTCTGAGGAAGGAGGGACTGGGGGCCTGGGTCTGAGGGAGGAGGGGCTGGGGTCCTGGGTCAGAGGGAGGAGGGCTGGGGGCCTGGGTCAGAGGGAGGAGGGCTGGGGGCCTGGACCCCTGGGTCTGAGGGAGGAGGGCTGGGGGCCTGGACCCTGGGTCTGAGGGAGGAGGGGCTGGGGGCCTGGGTCAGAGGGGGGAGGGCTGGGGGCCTGGACCCTGGGTCTGAGGGAGGAGGGGCTGGAGGCCTGGACCCCTGGGTCTGAGGGAGGAGGGCTGGGGGCCTGGGTCAGAGGGAGGAGGGGCTGGACCCCTGGGTCTGAGGGAGGAGGGCTGGGGGCCTGGGTCAGAGGGAGGAGGGCTGGGGGCCTGGACCCTGGGTCTGAGGGAGGAGGGCTGGGGGCCTGGACCCTGGGTCTGAGGGAGGAGGGGCTGAGGGCCTGGGTCAGAGGGAGGAGGGCTGGGGGCCTGGACCCTGGGTCTGAGGGGGGCGGGCAGGCCCCTGCCCTGGCTCCGCTCACTGTGGTGGGGGCCCAGGCTCCTACATCCTGCAGGGCCTGCTGGGCTGTGAGATGGGCCCCGACAACGCCACCGTGCCCGTGGCCTCGTTCGCGCTGAACGGCGAGGAGTTCATGAAGTTCGACGTGAAGGCGGGCGCCTGGGACGGGGACTGGCCGGAGGCCCGGGAGATCGGCCAGCGCTGGCGGCAGCACGAGGACGCGGTGTGGCAGGAGCGGCACTTCCTCATGTCCTCCTGCCCCCAGCGGCTGCTCGGCCACCTGCAGACCGGCCGCGGCAACCTGGAGTGGAAGGGTGAGCGCCCGGGGTCCCGGCCCGCAGCCCTGGAGGCCCGCAGCCCCGGAGGCCCCGCCTCTCCCCACCGCCCTGCCCTGCCCTGCCGCCCGCCTCCGGGCCCCCAGCCCCCCACCGGCCCCGGAGGGTCCTGTCCCCTCTCCTCTCACCGCCCACCTGCAGCCCCAGAGCTCAGCCCGGCATGGGGGCCCCAGAGGTGTGGCCCCTGTCCCTCTCTGAGCCTCACGTTTCTCCCTCACGCTGCACCCCTCTGCGGGTGGCACCCCCCAGAGTTCACACCGGCCCTCCCCTCCTCTTCCCTCCCCTCCCCTGTCACTCTCCGCCCGGTTCCCTGGTGTCACACCCAGGGGCCTTCTTGTCCCCGAGGCTCTCACCTTTTGGGGGGCTCCCATGATCCTCCTGTGACCTCCATCACAGCACATGTCACTGAGCTGTAAAGGGGTACAGGCCGGGCTGGAATCAGGGTTCTCTGGGGTCCCCCCACCTTGCCATCCCAGCTTTCCCCTCGGCCCTCCGGACAGACCACCCTCCACCTGGCAGTCAGAAGGGTGGTTTATTTATTATGTAAAATATATTTTGGCTGAAACCGGTGTGGCTCAGTGGATAGAACGTCGGTCTGCGGACTGAAGGGTCCCAGGTTCGATTCCGGTCAGGAGCATGTACATTGGTTGCGGGCACATCCCCGGTGGGGGGTGTGCAGGAGGCGGCTGGTCGATGTCTCTGTCTCATCGACGTTTCTAGCTCTCTATCCCTCTCCCTTCCTCTCTGTAAAAAGATTAATAATATATATTTTTAAAAAATGAGAAAACAGAGTCGTCCGAGGGCATGCACAGAAATGCGATCCAGCCACGTGTCCTGACCGGGAATCGAACCACCATCTCCTGGTTCATAGGTTGACGCTCAACCACTGAGCCACACCGGCCGGGCTCGATTCATTTCTATCTGTGCCCATGCACCTGCCCTCCGGGTCAAGATCGAGGACATTCCAGGGCCCCAGGAGGCTTCTGTGTCCCCTCCAGTTCTGTGCTCCCGAGGCTGACGGCTCCCCTGACTTCTGTCCGATCGGGCTGCCTGCCTCCGAACTCCCCACAGCCACGCCTGTGTGCTCGCTGGCGGCGTTGCTTTCGCTCCAGCGTGTGTGGGGACTCCGTTGTTGAGTGCATCAGCAGTTCTTTATTTTATTTTTTTAATACATTTTATTGATTTTTTACGGAGAGGAAGAGAGAGAGAGATAGAGAGCCAGAAAGGTCAATAGAGAGAAACATCGACCAGCCGCCTCCTGCACCCCCCCCACCGGGGATGTGCCCGCAACCAATGTACATGCTCCTGACCGGAATCGAACCTGGGACCCTTCAGTCCGCAGACCCATGCTCTACCACTGAGCCACACCGGCTTCGGCTGTCTTCTCATTTCTGTGGGCTGCAGCCCTGTGAGTGGGGTGGTTAGATCACGGTCTGTGCGGAGGATTAACGTTAGTAGGTCGGCCCTGCTGCTCGCAAAGTGGCTGAACCAGTTCTGTTCCCTACGCCCACCAGCTGTGTGTGAATGCCAGTTGCTCCACGGGTTTGCCAGAATTTGATACCGTCTTTCATTTTAATAATTCCATGGGTGTGTTGTAGTGTCTTGTGAAATCATTTTTTCAATAATCAGATAAATGTTTTTTTTAAAAAATATATTCTTTATTGATTTTTTTACAGAGAGGAAGGGGGAGAGAGAGTTAGAAACGTATTGATGAGAGGGAACCATGGAACCCGGGCACTCTATCCACTGAGCCAAACCAGCTAGGGCTTAAATATGTTTTTATTGATTTTTTTATTATTTATTAGAGAGAGAGGAATAGAGGAGAGAGAGAGAAAGAGAGAGAGAGAGAGAGAGAGAGAGAGAGAGAGAGAGAGAAACATCAACGAGAGAGAAACATCAATCAGCTGCCTCCTGCAGGCCCCCTACTGGGGATGTGCCCACAACCAAGGTACATGCCCTTGGACCGGAATCGAACCTGGGACCCTTCAGTCCACAGGCCGACGCTCTATCCGCTGAGCCAAACCTGCTAGGGCCAGAATCATTTTTTAATTTACTTATTCCTATTAAATTTGTATAGCTTCTTTTGGATTATGTCACCTTTGACCCATTTTATTTTCTTTTGCAATCTTAATACCGTTTATTTCTTTTTCTTATCTTATTGCCCTGGCTGGGATCCCAGTACAATGTTGAATAGAGTAGTGATAGTGAGCATCATGTATTCTCAAATTCACAAGAAAACTTCACTTGATCATAATGTATTATCTCTCATATAAATGACTTGATTCTTCTACCCTGGCTGGTGTTGCTAAATGGTTAGAGGGCCGGACTGAGCCCCGAAGGGTCTCGGGTGCAATTCCTGGTCCAGGGCCCATACCTGGGTTTCAGGATGGATCCCTGGGTTGCAGGTTGGATCCCTGGCACAGTTGGGGTGCATGCCAAAGGCAACCAATTGATATGTCTCTCTCACCTTGGTTTCTCTTTTCTCTCTCTCTCTCTCCTTCCCTCCCTTTCACTCACTCTAAAAATCAATGGAACCCTAACGGGTTTGGCTAGTGGATAGAGTGTTGGCCTGTGGACTAAAAGGTCCCAGGTTCGGTTCCGGTCAAGGGCATGTACCTTGGTTGCGGGCACATCCCCAGTAGGGAGTGTGCAGGAGGCAGCTGATCGATGTTTCTCTTCATTGATGTTTCTAACTCTCTATCCCCCTCTCTTCCTTTCTGTAAAAAATCAACAAAATATATATATTTTTAAAATTAATAAAATATATTTTTAAAAAACAAAAATCAAAATCAATGGAAAAAATATCCTTGGGTGAGGATTACCAATAAGAAAGTAAATAAATACAATTTTTAAATGACTCCATTCTATCTGTTAATGTGTTTATTTTTTTTTAAGAGAGTTTGAGTCTATTTGCATGAGAGATTAAATTCTGTTGCTTGTTATGTCCTTGTGAGGATTTGTTATCAAGGTTACCGTGGCTACCATGCTAGGAATAGCTTCCTTTTTCTCAATTCCTGGAAGAATTTGTGTCAGAGCAGGA